GGTCAGGAAGATCCCCTGGAGAAGGGCATGGCAACCCTCTCCAGTATTCTTGCCTGGAGAATCCCATGGACAGAGGAGCCTGGTGGGCTACAGTCCATAAGGTCACGAAGAGTCGGACACAACTGAAGTCACTTAACACGCAGGCAGAGGTGGTGGTTGCGCTATATTGTGCATGTATTAATTGCCACTGAGTTGTTCCCTTTAAAATGGTTAATTTTACCTCATTAAGTTTTTCTTTTAAACCGCAAGATATCATTATATATGTTCACTAGAACTGGATAAAATTAAAGGGACTGTCATTCCTCAGTGTTGGTGAGGACGTGGAGCAACTGGAACCCTCTTGTCTCGCTGGTTGGAGTAACTGGAACCCTCTTATCTTGCTGGTTGAAGTGTCACTAAAGCTAAATAACCACATGCCCTCTTCTGAGCCGTATTCCACTCCGGCCTGTATGCTGGAAAGAGAGGAGCACATGTGGCCACCAAGAGGCGTGCCCAAAAAGGCTCTGAGCAGCTTTTACTTACGATAGACTAAAACCATAAACAACCTAAATGTCTATCAGAGTAGAATAGATGAATAAATTGTGCTGTATTCTTAGGTGGAATATTATAGAGCACAAAGAATGAACACTGCTATACCACAATAAAGGTAAATTTCACAGAAACAATGTTGAATGAAAGAAACCTGAGTTTGAGGAGTATATTATAGTCTACTAAAGTCAAACTAATCTATGATGATAGATGTCAGAATAGCTTCTGCTGGGCAGGAATGGTCACAGTGGTTATTGATAGGGAGCACAAGAGAGCCATTTAGGGAGCTGGGAATAAATCTTCTGTATCTTGATCTGAGTGGTGGTTACATAGATGTTATATTATTATGTGGTGAGCCCATAATAATACATAATATATATGTTACAAAATAACCAATCTGTGCACTTAAGATTTGTACACTTTTCTGGTCCTACCTTAAAAAAAAAAAAAAAAAGCTAGCAAATTAAAACAAAAATGAGTCACCAGAGTAGGGAAGCAGTATAAAAGGATGTTTGAGAAGTATAAAGTTGTAGGTGAATATTTGAGAAGTGTAAGTTTGTAGAAACCTTGAATGGCAGTGAAATGGCAGGCGTTTGGATTCTGTTCTATAACTCCACTAGATTCAAGGGAGGGAAATGACATAATGGAAGCAGAGTTTTAGGGAAACAAATCTTTGGAGATGTGCCTGTGAACTGAGGACTGGTCCACAGGCGGGAAGGTATTACAGTGGGACCTGAATTAGGTTGAAAATGGAAACTCTGAAGGAAGAACACTTAGTGAGGCTGGTGACTAATTGGTCAAGGACAACAAGGATGATGGGTCAAAGAGGACTGAGGTTCCACACTAGATGGCTGGAGAAATGATGGTCCAGTAACAGAATTAAGAAAGCCAGGTGCAGGAATCTGTTTTGGAAGTAAAAGGATGAGTGGTTTCAAATGCTTTAATTGTAAAGTGGTGATAGGCAGTTGTGGGGCTCAGAAGAGCAATCAGGGCTGGTGACAGAAATCTGAAAAGAGATTATTTTGTAGATGAGATCCCTAAAAGAAGGAGAGATGCAGAGAGATTGTAGAAAGCCAGCCCTTAGAGAAGAAAAATGTGGTAGAGGAAGAAGAGACTGCAATTATGGATAGAACCAGGGTATCAGAAGAGAACCAGGATCATGTAAGCCAAATGAAGGTGGTGGGGGTGTGTGTGTGTGAAGATATAAAGGGAGAAGGTACAGAAGTAGGAGAGGAAAAGTAAAGATTGAGAATGTGATGGAGAGCAGGGATCATTGAGGGAACCTGGTCTTGGAGAAGGCAGGGGTAAACAAAGGCAAAGGCAGAGGACTTCTTTTAGGATGGCATTACCTGTGAAGAACCCAGGTGTGTGTGGTCAGGTCACAAGAATTTGTCAGTATCTGCAGTGACTTCCTTTTGCAGTATTCCTTGCCCTCTAAGAGAAAGCAAGGATGACCCAGGGTTAAGAATGAGTGTGGCTGTGGAAGCCAAGGAGTCCCAGGTATTGGACCAATTATGGGTTCCAGGCATAATCTTATTCTCTGTGAAAAGGATACAAAAGAAGTTTAAGATACCCCTCAAGCCCTCTGAGGATTTATATCGTTTAAGTGATTAATAACAGAGAGCCAAAACAAATGTAAATAGGATGTCTTGAATCCTGACTTTGTTGTTTTTCAGCTGTGTAGCTTTGGACAAGCTGTGTTAGGTCTCTGCCTCTTTTTCCTCATCTGTTAAATGGGGACAATAATAATATCTTCCTTAGAGTTTTTTTCTGAAGCTTAAATGAGTTAATACAAGCAAGGTGCTTGGAACAATACCTGAACATAGCAAACATGTGATGAATGTTAGCTAAGATCATGACAAAGCTCTAGGAGTTCACACATGGAAAAAGATTAGTAAAGGCTGGAGCTGATGGGAAGGTTCTCTGGAGGAGTAAGGTTTTATTGGAGGCAATTCAGGGACTGATAAGAGGAAAGGAATTTTAGGTTTGGGGAAAACAGTATGAGTAAAGTCTTAGATCAGTAGAACCATTGGCATTAGCCTGTGATTTGCTTAAACCAGATTATTCCTGTTGAGGAGTAGTGGGAGTCAGAGTAGGATCAGAAGATGGGCAACTGATACTTGTCATAATAAAAGCAGTATGAGTAGGCGTCAGAGTTCTTTGTGATTCTTTTTTTCCCACCTGGCCGTGTGACCTTGGGCAAGTTGTTTCATCTCTTTTGATCTCAAGTTTCCTAATTGTTGAAATGGTCTGGATATATAAAATTCCTCGCAGCTCTAAAATCCCATGCCTCATATGTGAAATGATTTCTTTGACCCCACCATCCGTGGGATGGCATTTTGTGTGTGTGCAGTGGGAGCAAACTTGTGGTTCTGGCCTCCCTGGTGCCAATCTGTAGCCCAGTGAGCCGATCAGCCTGCATGGATACCATGGAAAATGTCGCCACCACCTCGCCACTGTTGGAGAATTGGGGCTGTCTGCAGGTGTATTTGTAATATGAAAAGAGCCCTTGGGTATTCCCCTGCCAAATTATTTAGAGTTAACTCTACTACTGTTCTCTTGAGGAGCCCCAAGTTTTATGGATACTTGCCTTGAAGAGGACCCTAAGGGCTAAGTGGGAGGAAGGGAACAGTCTTTAGCCTTTCAAGACAGTTTCCGGGATGGTCTTTGTGGAGCTCACACGATGAGGGGGGGAAGCATCACCTCTGCACCACTAGAGCTTTCACAGGGCGACTCACCTACCTGTGGCCCTTGTAACACTGTAGCTTTGACATTAGGAAGCCCCTTGTTCCCAGATGTGTATTTCAGTAACCTAGGACTCTGTATAAACATACATGAAAATGGGCTTTTCAGATACCTTGCTCAGAAATCGTTGGCTCTAGTATGGCACTCGTTCAGGTTCTCTCTTGAGAAGGGAATTTGATTTGTGATTCAATTCTCACTTCCTGCCCTTCTGGCGTGAGCCCTGCTCAGGGGCCTTTCTGCTGTCATTCACCCTGCAAGGCTGTTGCCTCAGAGCCAAGTGTCTTTAAGATTCCGCCTCCACGTGCTTTCCTGTTGCTGAGTGGGAGGTACGTGGAGCAACGTCTGCCCTCTCCTTGAAGAAAATTGCTTTGTGATTTTCTCTGGCATGACCTTGGTCATCAGCTTGGTCTGGACTTTTATCCCAGACCGATGTTTACAAAACTTTGTGAATTGAAAAAGAACTTCAAACAAAAGAGCCAAAGCCCATGGAAGCGCTTTTATGCTATATGTTGTGCCTCCAAAGTTTTGAAGGGTTTAGTGTTTTCAGAAGGTGAAATGTGAAAAGAGTGACAGTTTGCCCTTGTGTGGTCCTTGGAAGAAAGAGTATGTCTTTAGGGAGTAGAGTTCTAGGACAGGAAGATGACTTGAGCATAGATTTCCAGAGTGGATGTGCACCTCTGGGTAGTGTTAAATATTCTCATTTACTTAGAATAGACATTCGTTGAGAGTATGGAATATATCTTCTTTTTTTTTTAATGTTGTCTATAAGAAAATCTCTTTTATGTTTTTTATTAAAGTATAGTTGCTGTACAATATTATATAAGTTACAGGTATATAATTTTGTGATTCACAATTTTTAAAGGTTATATTCCATTTATAGTTATTATAAGATATTGGCTACCTTCCCTGTGTTGTCCTTTATATCCTTGTAGCTTATTTTATACCTAATAGTTTGTACCTCTTAATCCCTGTATTACCCTCCCTCTCCTCCCCTTTCCTCACGGGTAACCACTAATCTGGGCTTCCCTGGTGGCTCAGTGGTAAAGAATCCACTTGCTGATACAGGAGGCATGGGTTCAATCCATGGGTCGGGAAGATTCCCCGGAGAAGGAAATGACAACCCACTCCAATATTCTTGCCTGGGAAATCCCATGGACAGAGGTGCCTGGCAGGCTACATTCCATGGGGTCACAAAAGAGTTGGACACAAATTAGCAACTAGACAACAAACCAGTGATTTCTTCTCTATATCTTTGAGCCTGCTTTTTTTTTTTTAAATTCTTTAGTCTCTTGTCATTTTTAGATTCCACATATAGTGATAGCATATAGTATTTGTATTTGTCTGACTTTTTTCACTTAAACATGGAGGGTATGGAATGTATCTCTGGAGCTGGTCCCTGATGGTGAGTTGTGTCTAAGTCATTAATAAAAGCTAGCAATTCAGAAGACGGCCATGTTTTGATCTCCTTGGCTGCTCATTCCCCTGAGGGGGTGGTTATGAACATCGCCTTGTCCTTTCATGCCACAGATTTTCTGAAGAGAAAAATAACCATGTCATGGAAGAAACCACATGTTGCGAAGACTGTGAATAGAGGTTGAGCATGGGATGGTTTGGTCTGGCCTCCTTTCAGAGTAGTGATTGATGAATGCTCTCTGTGTTGCTGTTTCTTCCAGAGCTGACCTGTCCTGGACGCAGCATAACTAACGAAGTTGCTGCAGGATGAGAAGATGGCAGCACGGCTGCTCGCACCACCAGGCCCTGACAGTTTCAAGCCTTTCACCCCTGAGTCACTGGCGAACATCGAAAGGCGCATTGCCGAGAGCAAGCTCAAGAAACCGCCCAAGGCCGATGGCAGTCATCGGGAGGACGATGAGGACAGCAAGCCCAAGCCAAACAGTGACCTGGAGGCAGGGAAGAGTTTGCCTTTCATCTATGGGGACATCCCACAAGGCTTGGTCGCGGTCCCCCTGGAGGACTTTGACCCATACTATTTGACGCAGAAAGTGAGTTGGAGGAGAAGGAACAGCAGCTGCAGATGCCCCTTTCCTAACAGGCTTAGGGGAGAGGGGGAGAAAGAGTTGTGTCTCTTTGCCAGAGTTTGGATAAGTAGTTAAACTTTTGTTTCCGTTCCGGTTTATGGGGGTTCTTTTTTGGTTTAATTGCTCCCAAGAGTCATTTGTGGGTCTTGGCACTTCTCAGTCCGTTAATAAGGCTTCTGTTTTTGACTCCGTGTCAAATCAGAAAAGGATTTATTTTTAAAAAAGGGGGGGGGGAAACAAAATTAAAAAAGGGGGGGGTACGTAAATGAAATGGGGACTGTTTGATATAGTGCAAGAAAAAAATGGCATAGTGAGAGATGGTACAGCCCTGTAGAATCTTGCTCACACACACATTCAGAATCCTGTCCTTAAATATAAAAATGATATTGTTATTGCAGCGACAGAGCCTATTGTTAATGTAATGGGGATGAATTTGTACTCTAACCTAGCCTCCTTTGTGACGTTAGATCATAACCACTGGGGACAAGAATAGAATAGAGTAAACCAAACTGGGCCAGTGAGAAGACCAGGTCTTTGGCCTTGTTACACAGTTGTCTGAGTTCCGCCAGCACTGATTCTTAAATGAGAGTCAGTTCTGTTATTCCTGCTAGTAGGGAGTATGAGTGAAAGAAATACTAATCTTCATTTGGCCAAGAGTTACAAATTTCCCTAACATATTTGACCAAACTTTGGGTTTCTTTCTCATGATTATCTTTTGAAACTAAGCAACAAGTGAAGAAGCAAAGCCCCCAGTTAATCCAGTTGCCAAGTAGTTAACCATAAATGCTAAAGGCTGACATCAGATAGCATTTTAGAGATCCCTCATTTGACAGGTGTCATTGAAAGAATTAAATCCATAGGTGTTTCCAGATGAAGGGGGAAAGGACTTTGTGTAATTACATATTTATAAATATAAAGCTTAACTGCCTTTATTAACCAAACTGCCTTCTAAATTGACCTTAGCTAAAATTGCCTTTCAGTCTCAGTTTGGGAAGAAATTTCTGTTTCTTTGTCTTAACAATGGGCCAGAAGTAAGACTTGAGGTCAACAGATCTCTTGATTAAGCTATAGTTGTGGAGGCATCTTAGTTCTGAGTGGCAAAAACAGTTGAGTAATTGTCTACACAAAATGGTCCTTCACCTGCGTACTTCTCTTGCAGCTCACAACAGCTATCTACTGGGAACAAAGCTGAATCGGTAGCCTGTAACTTCTACTGGGAAATTTAGAAAGTTTAAGGAAGAAAACATCATATGATATAAAAAGTACTAGATTAGAAGAAATCCTTGCTCTATCATAATTCGTCATGTTTATTATTTATAGTTATCTTTTTAGTATGTGTGTTTCTTAAGCTGCCACAAATAGTTCATGGCGGGGTGGGGGGGGAGAGTAGTAAATAAAGGAAAAATATTCTCAAAACTAGTTCATGACCTTTAGTAAGTCACTTCACTTCTCTGTGCCTAAATGTCTTATCTAGAAACTGAGAAGTTGAACAAGACCTCTAAGGACTTTGTCAAGTGTCACGTTCTGGGGCTAAGTTTTCACAAACTGTCTTTGATTTCCTTGTTTACTCATTCCTTTTTTAAAATCTAAATTTTCAATCTGGGCCTTTGCTGAATAGGGGTAGGTGGGTGAGGAAGGAGACAAGGTTTAAATGTCTAGGTTAGTGAATAAGGAAACATGGAATCAAACTATTTTTAGAAGAATATTTCATTGATTGTAAAATTTTGAAATATTTTAAGATATATTTCCCTCCTCTTTGCTTCTCTTGCATCCATAGTCTTAGTAGAACTTTTTCAGAAAATACTCTTATGGCAATAAAGTGAAAATGAAGTCGTGTCCAACTCTTTGCCACCCCATGGACTGTAGCTTACCAGACTCCTCTGACTGGGATTTTCCAGGCAAGAGTACTGGAATGGGTTGCTATTTCCCTCTCCAGGGGATCTTGCCGACCCAGGGATCGAACCTGGGTCTCCCGCATTGCAGGCAGACACTTCACTGTCTGAGCCACTAGAGAAGCCTTATGGCAATAAACTGATAGGTAAAGCCCTTTGGACCCTGGCCTTTCAGGTGGCTAAAACCTCTTTGCTTTTATTTGAACTATTTGTTTTTCCAACTCAGATACAAATTAAATTTCGTTTTCTTAAAACTGACTAAAAATACAGAGAACTAGGTTCGGTGTCAGAAGCTGGTTTTCCTTTGCCTGCCTTTTCCCCTGGTTCCTGGCCTATAGACAGCCTCTTTTCATTCCCAGTGCCTTAGACGTCAGTGGTGCTAACTTGGAAGTGAGGCCCCAAAGACAGTGGGTCTCTGGCCCTACTGGCTACCCTTTTTTGGGTAGGCCAGATGTTAATGGCACTCCAGTAGGGGAGAGAGGAAATCTGATTTCAGCCTTTGGCCTCACCACAGGGTAGATAGTTTATGGAAAGGATAACTTTAATTATATTTTTAAAATTCTTTAAAGAAAAAAAAAAAACTGAAATATACCACCATGCAGAAAAATTCTTAAAATATAAGTGCCTTTATATATCTATATATAAAATATAAATGCTTAGTTTAATGACTATTATAAAGCAAATAAACACCTATGACAAGAGAGAGCATTAGTAGCCCTTCAGAGCTATTAATTTTATTTTTAAATAAGGACTTTGTCAGTTGATTAAAGAAATAGGCTTGTTCAAATTCACTTGCATATCTTCACCAGCATTATTAATACTTCTTACTAAATAGGCCTTTCACTGGGCCAAATTAGCAAGGTCTCCCCTACAAGGAAGCAGACTGGGAATCAACCCACAAATCAAAACATCCTGAGAGGAGAAATGACTTTAAGAGGACATTCCTTTCTGTTTGTTTCTCAAGGGCTGCCTTAAGTAATTCTTGCAAAGTGAAATCTCTTTTCTTTGCTTAACGCTACAAATGAATTTCTTAATTTTTTCTTTTTGGTTCTCGTTTTCTACCTCATTGATCATTTTTGGGACTCATGGAAACTGGTTTCTCATTTCCTTCTCTCTTTGTTTAGAGGATGAAAGAAAACTAGTTCCCTATTAGTGAAGTTCTGGTTGCATCCCTTTGTAGACTTTACAGTGTCCAGGGACACAGGGCCATAAAATATGTGCATCCCATTTTCAAGATACCCATTTTCAAGCTGGTACTGGTGTGAGCTGTCGTGAGTTGCTTGGGGCCCTGAACAGTGGTGTTCATTTAACATTTCACCTGACTTCCCCAGATGGTCCTCCACAATCCAGATTATCCTTTCTTTGAATTGTCTCAGAACTCCCAGTGCTACAACATGTTCTTCACCTCTTGGTACTTTGGATGTCTCCATTCTTTGACATTCTTGTTTTTCAAGTGTTACCTGCAAATAATTGAATTTAAAGGACATTTAAACTTTTAAATGTATTTAACATTAAAAATAGGTAATATAATATAGGTAATCCAGTGGTTAAGACTCCATGTTTCCACTGCAGGGGGTGCAGGTTTGATCCTTGGCTGGGGACCTGAGATCCCACAGGCTGTGTGGTGTAGCCAAAAAATAAAAATAAAAATAGGTAATATATTTCCATGGTTAAAAATTCAGTAAAAACTATTCAGTAAAGAAGACCTCAGTAAAAAGTGTCCCCTTTATACCTGTCTCTCATCTGTGCATGTCCTGCCTCCCTGAACAGCCATGTTAGTACTTCCAGAGTTTCTTTACACAGTATGGTGGTGGTGGTTTAGTCACTAAATCGTGTCCGACTCTTGTGACCCTATGGACTGTATGTAGCCTGCTAGGCTCTTCTGTCCGTGGGATTCTCCAGGCAAGAATCCTGGAATGGGTAGCCATTACCTTCTCCAGGGGATCTTCCTGACCCAGGAATTGAACCCAGGACTCCTGCATTGCAGGCAGATTCTTTACCGACTGAGCTATGGGGGAAGCTATTTATACAGTATATGTACAAGCAAAAAGAAACAAGTAATTTTAGGAACTTGAACTGACCTGAATGCCTTTGTTCTTGGTTTTCTTTCTGTTATTTTTTAAAGTCAATTAAAGTCTTAATTTTGTTATTTGTTCTCCCTTCTTTCATACTGTGGAATCTTAAGTTTTATCAGGGTAAATTTTCAGTTCATTTCTCCCCTTCCACACTTTTCTTAGTGAATCAAACCAAGGACTTCTTCTGTGTTGCTCAGAGTTTTTCTGTCTTCACTACAAACTATACTTTCCAATTCTTAATAATAACTTGTTGAATTTTTAAAAATTATTTATTTTCTGTATGGTGAGTGGTTGAATGAATGTTGGTTTTTTTGTTTTATGAAGTCCTATGCAGAGTTAAAAAGAATGGGCCATGTTTGCTTATAGCAGTTTGCTGAATTTTAAATGGCCATGTATATTTCTAAGAGCTGTCTTAAATTGGCAGCAAGAAAATCTATGGATTAAATTGAAAGAAGGCCTTCAGAGTTAGCTTGTACTCTTTCTCCTGTTCCTTAAAACCAGTGACTGTTACATGTATCCTTTTTGTTCAGTGGATATGCCCTCTTGTAAGAAAGTCCTATAAACAAAAATCCAAATTATAGGATTTTTTATGTGGTTTTAAATAGGGCACATTAAATTGTGCATTATTAATTAATATTAATTATTAAATTAAATATTGCATTAAAAAATTACATATGGTTTCCCAAAGTTCAGTTTACCTTCAAGTTTTCATGTCTATCTTTTCCTGCAAATTGGAGTCAACCTAGAATCATAGAAAATTAGAATATGGTGGCCTTAAACATCATCTAATTCAGCCTTCTCATTTTATAAGTTTAATAATGTAAAATAACTTTGTCAAAAGCCAATGCCTCCTGTCAGTTTGTTACAACATGTTTCTAGTTTTCCACTTTTCTAATTTTTTATTAATTGGCCTTCTGTCTCAGTTTGTTCAGTTCTTCTGAAACTAGGCATGCAAATATGGAGACGGGGGAAAAAAAACAAAACCTGCTTTTTCATT